GGCATTTTAAGTTTGTTCTTTTCACAGAAATCTAAGTGTTAATATGTATGGAATTGAAAGTGGGAGTTGCAAATCACCAGAAGCAAAATGGCTCATGAATACTCTTCTCTGTCTAAAAAACTGTTCAAAAATATGTATCTAAAACTCTCTTTTTTAAATAACCTTTAAATGAATTCATGATAAACAATACATTATAGAACAACAATTTTTGAATCAAGATACTTCAAATAGGCTAATTTACAGAATGAAATTTTGGAAAGTTATGACTTCCCCAGGCTACTGCTCTGATCAGACTGCTGCAGTCATGTGATCCTCCTTTTCAATGTTCCATAATAGTTTTCCAGTCACTCTTGTAATCCCTCATTCCTCCCCCCATCCAGCAGCCATTTACTAACCAGCTGGGAAACGAAGGGAAGGCGAGGGGAGGGAGAAGGAAGAAAAATAGAGAGGCAGGAAAGGATGAGAGAGAGGAAGGAACAAGGAAGAAGTAACCCTAACACACTCTTCCAAGTCTTTTCAACCCATGTCACCCCTTATATGCTTTCCTTGACCCTGTGCTCTCTCCCTGATCAACTCCACTCCCCACATGCTTTTTCCAACTCACAGAGCCCTTCTTATGTATACCCCACCCACCTTCCTGACTTGAACTGCTCCGTGTGCCTTTCCCAAATTGCATGACACCTCTTGTGCATCCCCAGACATCCTCCCTGACCATGTATGCCTTTCCCAGCCTGCATACATCTATTGTGCAAGCACATGGACCCTTCCTAACCCACATCGCTCTTCCATCCCCATCCTTAATCCATATGCCATCTCTTGCGCATACCCCATACACCCTACATATTGACTGAAAACCAGAATGCAGGTAGGTGATTGCTGCCAGGGTTCCTCCTGTGTACCCTTTCTTACCTGTTTTCTCACACAGCCATCCTTCCCCACCTGGCAGCAGCTACTTATCTGTATGCTGGCTTTCTCCTTGCAAACTTCCCAAAGTAAATGGGGAGGGAGGCAGGGAAGGAAGGGAAGGGAAGGGAAGGGAAGGGAAGGGAAGGGAAGGAAGGAAGGAAGGAAGGAAGGAAGGAAGGAAGGAAGGAAGGAAGGAAGGAAGGAAGGAAGGAAGGAAGGAAGGAAGGAAGGAAGGAAGGAAGGAAGGAAGGAAGATGTCTAATGTT